TGCAGTGAATGGACATGGTAGTGAGGAATGGGATGGGATGGTAACTACTACATCTCACAAGATTTCAGAAGGCTATCTTCCAACTGAAAACTTGACTTCTAAAATCGTTATCTTAAAAATAATAGTTAACTCTACACGCCTTTGTTGCTCATTTTTTCCCCAGAAGCATTGCTAGAATTAGTTGGTAAAGACATTTTCAGTATGGTTATCTAGATTTTTAATAAACAGGGATTCAAAATTCTGAGTTTAGAAATGATCTTATTCAATTCAGTGTAGTATCGTTGAAGAAATTTAAGAACTTTTAATTTAAGCCAACTCTATGTCCACTAACATCAGCCCCAATGCCAGTTTTCTCTATTATTAATTTATATTTGCTTTCTGCTTCTGAGTGAAGATTTCTGTGTTCCAGTAAGCTCTGAGGGCCTGATCAGACTTTCTTAAGTGGTTTTATGTTTATCTGCTTTCTTATTCTGATTGATCTCAATTTACAGCTGATGCTGTTTTAGTATTATTAGCCACCTTAAACACTCTAAATGAAAACACAGAACGGGGACACCTATCACTCACCAGTCTTGAAAGAAAATGTAACTTCAAAAGCTACTCTTACTGCTTTTACTGCTCCTTTCAACTGGAGTTAGAAAATGCAGGCAGGAAAAAAACCCCATCTGTCTCATCTGTTTCTACTATTTAGCCCAGTGCTATGTATTTCTTTTGTTCTAAAACTGTCAGTCATTACATTTGTTCATGCAAAATTTGTAATTTGGCTTGCATATGTGAATTTATCCCATCAATACCTAACCTCTGTTTTGGTGTGCCACACCATGCATGTTAAAACTTCTGAATCTAACATAATAAATAAATGCTCTACTCCCTTGTTAGATTTATTCATGTTTACTGACTCTTAAAACCAATACCATTAATATATTTGACCATTTCATATATGTACACTGTAGTTTATATAGCACTATTTCATTCTCTAGATCTCAGTGGGGAGGAGACTTGTGGGAGAAAGAAGGCATTCCTAAAGAAGGCCATGCTTCCCGAGATACACTAGGCTAGGACTCTTGAAGGGTTTTTATGAGCTGCAGTCAAATGGTGCACCTGAAAGGGTGCATCACAGCATTCAACATTAACAATACCAATGTTAGGAAATGGAAGAGTAGTTTTTTTTTTAAAAGATTCCAGAGTACTGCTCATAGGGATCTTCCTAATACTGTACGTTGTTTAAATTATGTCTACTTATAAAGCTGTAAGATATTGCAGAATTTTGCGTGCAGAAATGCAATCATCCATTCACCATTCCCAAAAACAGGAATAGGAAGAAAAAAACAAACAAACATCTGTCCTCTTTGCCATCACTTACCTTCTGGTTCTGAGTCTTTTCTTTGTTCCACTTCCACTTCCACTTTTGAGGCTGTTCTTTTTAATTACAGATAACAAAGCAATTTAAGCAAGTGAAAAGTCTTTTATTTTATCTTGAGTAAGCACAGGCATATTGGTGGGGTTAGGGTAGAAATTTACCTCAGGACACTTATATCCTCAGCAGCACCACCCTCAGCATCCAGGGTCTCTTTGACTAAGGCAGAAATATGAAATCTGGAAAAACTGAAAGTCTGAGTAGCAACTCTTCTTCTGAATCAGCTTCAGATCTAAAGCAACAGAACCTCTGTGCATATCCATGTAGTTTAAGAACATTTTCATTAAGTGAATTTCTTGACACTAAGAGGAACAGAACACGATCTTATAAACATGTAAGTAACATTAGTTTAATAAACTTCTTGGTCTTCAGGTCTTAGAATGGTTGTGGCTTTGAAATATTTACTGAGGCTAGATGTAAGCTTAAGTTTATGTCCCTGAAAGTCTACTATCAAAGCAGTTTCTAGAAACTCTAGTCTATTCTGGTAATGGGGTGGTGGTGTGTATACAACATAATAAAAGTCTAATCCTGTTAAAGAGGTAAGCAATAAAAAAAGAAAACTTGAATTGCCACCAACAACTATCATCAAGTCCATACATTTGGCTGTTGGCCTGTCTCTCTACATAGTCACAACAGATGCCCATGAATTGGATGGGGGGGAAAACTAGATTATTCAACCTGAATTTTCTCTTCAGATGAATAGGAGGGGACTGGTCACAGCTGCTGTGTAGAAGAAAACCATTTTCTATCATTCTGTGCTCAACTTGGGCAGATGGGTGCCTTCAAAGCTGGTAAAAATGGAAATATCTATTGCCTCTCTATTTCAGACTTCTCAGCAGAAGCCAAATTGGGGGAGGGTCTCATGGAAGCAGAAGAATAAATCATGCCATCCATGAATGTATGTATAGCTGAAAGCAGAAAGGAGCACTAGTGCCAAAAGAACTTTTGTTCTTCTTCACCATGAGTAGCTGCACCAAAGAGGAGAATCCTGAGGCCATGTTTCCTGATAGAGACAGAAGGGAAAGCAACTGATAGTATTCAAAACTGGAGAGGTTTAACAGAAGCCTAAAACTGCTGTCTAACAGAGCTCCTGCCTTACTGGCAAATATGCCACTTAGTCCTCTTAATATTCCAAGAAAGTTTAGGATTAACATATTGGAGTCACAGAGTAATTTCATATATTTCTTTGACTATATACTGAGCTTTAGTCTTGAACAATCAGGGAAAATGCAGATGGCTTCAAGAAGCTTCATACATATGCTTTGACAAGCTAATCTTGTTCTAGCTATAAAATATGTGGACTGTCTCAGCTCATCCTGGAGATCTATCTATGTGGTTGCTAAGAATCAACACCAACTTGATGGGATATAAATAAAAGGTTTCAGCAGTGATACAAGCATAACACAAAAGTGATTGGAGGCACTCATCATTCAAAAAGTTGACCTTTGTTCAGTGTAGGTCACTGCTCTATGTCTTCTGAAATCAATGTTTGCAAATTATAAGCAATTTGCTTATGCAGCCCCCATCAATTGTATGGTAGAAAAGGGAAATAAAAGCATTTGCTTCCCCTTACTACAGTTCTGCTATGTTTGATTTGGGGAAAAGCTGGTTAATTTTGAATTCTCATAAGGGAACAAACCAGTATCAACTAAAACAAATAGCTTACAAGACATAACAGGGAATTGCAGTTGCTTAAGAGGAAGTAGTTTTTCTAGTCTTGTCACCTGATGATCTAAAGAGGAGAGGGAAGCACATGGACTCAAGGCTCACTACACCTTTTTTTGGAAGCAGAAAATCAAAGGTGTTATGAGAGTGTTTGTCAACATCTCACTGTTCCCCAAACTGCTAGCTAAGATTTTGAATCCAAATACTGCTATGGATGGAAGTCCATTTCTTAGAACCTAATATATGGACTTAACCTATCAAAGTAATACGTAGCAGAAATGTGCAAAAAACTGTTCTGGAACACTATGTCAGGATCACCTTATGTTTTGGACATCCCTAATACTTAGCATTAAAAATCCAAAAAACTTACATCATTCAAAATTTAATCCCTCTGCTTTATTATACAAAAATTACACAGTCAAGTTTCAAAATACAAATTTGTAATTGTAGCATTCTATATTATGAATCAGGGATGTGCAAAATTTCATATTCTTTTCCCAAGCATGAAATGAGTTCTGCTCATATCAGAAGTGTTCCAACTTCCCATAGAAATAGATAATTGCTTCAGATTCTTAGCTAGTATCTAAAACCTTTAAGAAACAATTTGGAATTAGCTCAGATTTTTTTTAACTGTTTCTTCCTCTATCTTAGTTTCAAAACTTAACATGGAGTATGACAAAGGATGAGTTTAAGGATGTAATCCAATACTGAAATCAATAAGCCTTGCTTCTGAGAATTATAATATAAAAAAAAAATCCCTTCTGGAACTTTCACAGAACAACTTTATCTTCTAGCAGTGCAGGCCTCCATGATTCTCATGGTATTATGAAAGAGTTCCATCACTAGGAAATGTAACAGCCTTCCCAGAATATTTTATGTATGATATTTATCATCATTTAGTACATTGGGTGGGGGGAGAAGGGGAGAAAAAGAAATGTTAAATATCCATTGTGAGTTATGTCAGACCTGGTTTCTTTTCTCTTGTGCTTTTGGTATCTCTTCAGCCATTATCTTCTACAATTTCCCCCATTCTCATTATGGGGATATCCTTCCCCTCTCTATTTTTGTAAGTGTTCTGCCTGTAAATACCAATAAAGACTTTCAATAAAAATATACCCAGTTCTTTTAAAATTATACTGAACACACAACAGCAACTTTTATATTTGGCATTAAAAACACCTCCCATATTATAGAATTAAATACCCAATACAAACTATGTACTGAAATGAAAAGGCTTCAGACATGGTTAAGTTTTGCTGGAATTTGGGGCTTTACATGGAAACAAGTTTCACTAACATCCGTGAGTCTTGATTCAATGTAGTCTACCTAATCCAGGGCTTTAAGAGTTCTGGCATGTACACAGAGCTACACAGCACTTGTTGCTCTCTTTAAAAAAGGAAAAGCTCTAGATAGAATCCATCTAGTTCCCTATCACTTACAGAAGGCTTCCTTCAGCAAACTGGATGGGGTCCATTGTATTTTCAGCTATTTCCCATCTACTCCCAAACAGAAAATAGCTGGATTCCATCCTCTGGGAAAACCCATACTGCATGTACAGATCTCTCATCAACATTCCAAGCAACAAGCTAAGATTCTTTAAGCTTGAAGCAGTTAAGAAAATGATAAATAAGAATAAATTATTCAGCTCTTACTAAAAAGTATACACACAGCAGAGATGATGATTTTAGCTCAGAGATGCATAAGATGGTGAATTCATACTCTTTACAGAGCACCTAACAGCTCTCCACCAAACAGATTTAATGGAGACACAGGGATATGATATGACGATAAGGATGTGCTGGATTCAGAATAAAATTAACTCTCCCATAATCCCCTTTTTTAATAACTCAGCTTTTTAATTCTACCAAACAACTGAAGAGATATTCATTAAAATTAAATAAAACATCCAACACAAGAGTAGCATGCCTGTTACTTTATTATTCTCTCTATAGTAGTGGAATATATGCAATTCACAAATCATACTTAAAATCGTGCATACAAATTTGCAGTACAAATTACTGATATTTTAGTCACAATACTAAAAACAGAATGGACATAATTACATGCTACATTGCTACATAAAGGCAAACATTACATTTTTGCTTACTACTAAGGCCACGAAAGCCTCCAATTCTGTTTGCTCTCCACAATTAGGTAAAACGTATTAATCAAAGGCCACTATTTTTAAAATGAGAAATACTTTCAAAAGATTACACCAAAGCACTCCCTTGCAATAACGTCATGGAACACCACAATCACACTTACTCTTTGCAATTACTTTAGTACTATTGTTGTATTGTAGTCTATGATAAACAAAAAAAAAAAAGCAGGTGATTTATTCTTAAATCTCAAGCACAATGATCATTTCAAACATGCAGTATTCCTTTTTCAAATTTACAATCACAAATATGGCATTCCCAAAGACAAAATCAGTTAAAAACAGCAAAAAAAAAAAAAAGTTGCGTTTTAATATTTCTGTTTCAGAGAGTAAAACATCAATACTTTAAAGTGTCACATACGGAAGTGGAAAGTATAAATTCATAGGTATCAAGTTTGTAGTTCTCTAGCCATTTGTTTTATTTGATAATTAAAAATGTTAATCAAATTGGTGCATTGATTCTTACACAGGTCTGATACTCATTTTTGTCTCAGCATCACTTTTCAACATGCAGACCAAAACATTTTTATTTGCCCTAGAAAAATTAAACACCATCTTTACCTGATAAATGGGTGCTCATTTTTGCTGGTTATTCAACTAATTTTCAATACACTATGTATTTCTGCTATTGAAAACCATGATATTTTGACTGGATTACAGCCTTAATTTTTTTTATGAAAACAGCAATATGAGCAGAGGACACGGAAACAAGCTGTAGACTGGAATGGTAAAAAAATGTATATGTCCGATGAGGAACTAATAAAAGGAGGCTATGTAAAAAATATAAAAATAAATAAATCAGGTAGGTAGACAATGTTTTAACTTGGATTACTTTTAAAGAATACTCTCTCTCTCTTCTCCAAAGCCTGCAGCATCAGAACCAGTAACAGTAAGAAGCTCAGAAGAATCTTTTGAAAGCCTTGTATAACTTGAACGCTGACTGCGCTTATGGGTCACACCTTTAATATTATCATTCTGAACTGTAACTGAGTTAGAACTTGATCCAGGACACAGAATCATTTGAGAAGGCTCTCTGATACCGTCAATCTCCTCAAAATTCTGATTGGCTCTACTGGTTGGTGCACTATTATTATTCAGGGTGACTGTGCTAGGCGTTCGGTTTAAATTGTAGACTTTTTGACATGATGGCCAATTCTCTTCTGGACTGCTTGCTATTAAACTGCTGTCTGAAGGACTTTTCTTATCTTCTGAACAAATTGACATACGTGCGATTGTTGGATCTTGAAGGCCACTCAAGCTGTGTGGAATTCCCCTTTTCCCACTGTGGCCATCATCTTCCAGCTCAATGAGATTTGCTTTTTCAAGCTGTGAGTCATCTCCATCATTATGGAGAGAGTGATTTGGAGAGCTTTCATTGGATCTTACTCCAGAATCAGAGGAATCCTTTTTGTCTAGAAGAGCATCTGTCAAATACTCCTTTGCTTTAAACAAGGTTCTAATGGGCTCAGAACCATGATCTGGAGATTTGGATTGCTTTTCTACTTTTCCTTCTATTTTCCGGTCTTTACCTTCCTTGAGGAGAGGTGTATTATCAGATTCTTCAGTTCCAGACTCATCTTCATCACTTGGAAGTTTCTGATAACGCAGAGCTACTCCTTTCAACTTTAGGTCTGCAGCTTGGAAAATGTTAGTTCTTTCTGAAGATTTCTTTCCAGAAAGAAGCTTGGATCCAGACTGATCTGATTTTTCATCTTCTTCAGTAATGGGATCCAATGGAGACGCATCATTAGTAGATACTGAAGTACTGTAATCTACAACATCATTCCGCTTAATCAAGAAGGACTTCCTTACATCATCTTGTTTCTGTTCAGCATCCTTTCCCTTATCTTGTTCCATGCTGGAATGAAGAGAACCTGTTGATGTGCTCTGGCCCATATAAAATGCTGCTGAACTATGTGGTGAAGATCTACCACTCACTGTACTAGAACTTGCACCTCCTTCTAACTGTGACATTTGAGCAATATATTCTCTATATGCATCTCTATATTCTGCCTGTACCTTATCAGTAAGCTTTGAAATTTCAATACTAGAATCTTGAGAATTGAGGCTTGAAAGACTTGGAGTCCGACGGGCTTGCGACTGTTTAAAGACAAAGAAGATATGTTAAAAGATTTTCTGGGTTTATATCCATAACACATTTAAATAGGTACAAATGAATAAAATTAAACCTGAGAAACAAGTTATGAATAAAAAATGTTTGATGTTTCAGAAAGGAGCACTATGTCAATAACTAGCATGTGTTGGGACTGTTCTAGACATGACAGTTATTAACCAGTGAATATTGGGCAGGATCCTGTGAGGAATCAAGACAGCAAATTCATCTATCATATAAATGGTTTCATGAACAGCTGGAAGTTTTACATTTCTCATTTTAAGTTAAGTTCCTAATTTAAACAATACTTAGAATAAAAGGGGAAAATGTATCAATTTTCTGTTAAAACCCACAGCCTTTCTTAATACATTGCATTTCTGTACCCTTCCAGAGTTTCCATATTCAATTAAATTAAATAGACTGAAAGAGGTAAACATGTCCAGAAAAACACATGTCTGTATATAGCTCTTGTGTGCATGAAACTGGAATGGAGCATATAACTGCGTAACTAGAAATGTACTTACAGAACCTGAACTAGAAATAAATGTAGTTTGTAACTTTTACTTTTCATAGATATTACTGATGTGTAACACATGTGCAACAATTTGATTTTAAACAGTTTTACCCTTGAATATGGCTTGTAATCATAATAGTTATGATTAAAACAGAAACCATTGACTAAATTAAATCTAATCTGAAGTGAAATTACCTGCCAACTTAGATTGCTATGACGTGGAGGGGCTTCCTCTAGGCCAATATTGTTCAGCTCTTCAAAGCTGAAATTGAGAGTATAAGGAGCTTGACCTGGAAGACCAGTAAGTTCTGTATGAGGTAATTCATTGTTCAGTGTAGGATGTCGAGTAAGTTCATTATGAGGAATTGTATTGGCATGCTCATTTCCTGTTCGGGAATCTTCATGGACAGCTTGACTTTCTGCATTTCTCATTTCAAGTACCTAACATAAGAAATAAAGATATCAGGCTTCAAGTTGAACATAACAGCACAACTAGAACATGATCTTATTTTATCAAAGAACTATGAAGCAGACCCTCTGTGACAACATTGGGGCTTCACATGACTCACCCCTGATAATCTAGAAACTTGAAGACACAACAGAAAGTTTGTTCTACAACATAATTGGTGGCATTAGGAGAAATAATAGAGCTTTAAAAGCAGTGCTTCCCAACCTTGAAAATTTCAACTCCCAGCAATGGCTACGCTGATTGGGGAATTCAGGCAATTGAAGTCTACGTATCAAGCTAGCAGTCAAGTTGGGAAACACTGTTTTAAAGCATACACAGATGTATGTACAAGGAGCTCCTTGGATCTTATCTTGTATTTGTATACAAATTTCACACGAGGCAACCGAAAACACATATTTATGCAAGGCCTAATCTTGAATATTTAATACAACTGAATGGTTTAAAAGCATATTTAACCAATCACATAGGTTGCACAAACAACAGTTCCTTAATAAATATTTCTTATTTCTTACCTAATCTTATATTCCTGCTAATGGACTGAAAGAAACAACTATACAAGGACTCCAGCCTGATGGAAAGCAATGTTTCCAGGCAGGGTACTACCACTTTATATATGAAACTATGTCAATAAAATTGTGTATACATTATTAACAAAAATGAGGTAAGGTGAAGTAAACCATACTTGGGATGAAATTTTATGCAAATAACATGACATTAAACTTCACTGAAACTAAGTACAATATGCTTCAAAGGAAATATATACAGAAGTGGTGAATATAAGTCCCACCAACAGATATTTGTAATTATGTAATACTAATATTAAATTATTAAGTAATAATAAGTCTTACTGCACTCTTGAAAAGATGCCAGTCCCCAAAATTCATGTTCATCTCACGCTTTAGTTCATCAATGTTACACTGTGCTAATACACGACCGTTTATATTAGCCTAAACAAATTTTAGAAGCACAACATAGGTATCATTTACAGGAGGTAATAAAACAGTAAACTTTAAACATTTCAAAACAAATTAATGTACACATGCATCTATAATATTACAGGGATGGTGTGTGTTATTGTGGTTTAGAGACTAAAGAATGAAATTTTAAGTATTTCTAATAAAAGAAACAAGTCATAATTCAATTACGGAGTAAAAGAAAAAGGGAGGATTATTAAAAATGTACATTAGTTACATCAAAACAGAAATCAGGATTATATTTCAAAGGAAAATATCATCATAATAAACTTTAGGATATATTATATATTTATTATAATCCTAAAATTCATTATGATTATAATAAATATATAATATATCCTAAAGTTTATTATGATGATATTTTCCTTTGAAATATAATCCTGATTTCTGTTTTGATGTAACTAATGTACATTTTTAAGATTATTAAAAATGTACATTAGTTACATCAAAACAGAAATCAGGATTATATTTCAAAGGAAAATATCATCATAATAAACTTTAGGATATATTATATATTTATTATAATCATAATGAATTTTAGGAAGTTTCTATATTATATGTTTATTTCATGAGTAATACCCAGTCTTCTTGTGAGTCTCTTCAAAACTGACTTACAAATTGACAGCACAGATACAGCAGAAGTATTTTTTTCCTAAAAGTGTCAGATTAAATAAAGGCCAAATTGAATTAAAGTTGTGTTTTTTTTTAGGAGGAGCTTGACTGAGGTTTCAGAGATGAAATTTCAAATTGCAGGTTTCAACTGATTTGGGAACCGGGAGAGGGACTACAGGAGGAGGAAACATTCATTCCTCCTGCAGTGTACATTTTGTTGGGAGATGGATACAAACTGTCTGTTATACAAATGAGCCTGCAGGCTAAAGAAGACTGTAAGATTACAAGCTGTTTTAAGAACAGTCTTATCAGTGTTTTTAGAAAGTCAAATCAGACTGTTTAGGACATAAAAGAACAACCCAAAACATTCCTCTGATCACAACAGTTAAAAACAAATGGCCTGGTTTCCCACCATTTTGAGGCAAGAAACACAATAAAAACCGTAAGAAAGACGTATCAGTTTCAATATGAAACTGGTGAAATCCCTCACCAAAAGGAAAATTCAGGCCCTGCCCGCTTTGCATCCTCACACTATACACTGCAACCTTTAGTGGGCAGTGTGGTGATGCAAATATTCTACCCCACTCTTCCAAATATTCATTTTAATCATTGAAAGTGTTCATTCTTCATTTAGAACATCAAGTCTACTGCCAAGATTTGCATATTTTCAAACGCTACCTCTCAGGATCATCCTTACAAAAAAAAGAAAAACCCTTCCCAAAAGGGACAGTACTACTACACTAAGCACTAAAAAAAAAAATCTTACCAAGAGCCACATTAACACATACTTTATTTTAAATATGATTGATCCTTCTATATCTTTATACTTTATTCATTAATGGTATTTTGGCAGTAAAACAAAAACATGGTTTAATATATTCTCTGCATATCCAATCTAATTACAGAGATAATTTCCCATTTTTTATTCTCCAACGGTAGATTTTTACAGACCAAAGAGAAGATAAATTGTCTATGCATGCAGAAACGTACCTTCTTTATAGTTGCAGAATACTGAGCCAGCATAGTCTGATCTAGTCCTTCTATTTGTTTCAGTTTCTCACACACAGCATCCACACTCATGGAGCTCAAAGGCACATGGGATGCTCCTGATCCAGGGATTGTCCCCTATGCAAAGCAGAAGCGCAATATGCAATATGTTTAAATGCTTATTATGATTTCTTTGCAAACACAAACAACACCTAGTGTTTTGAGTCACTACTACCAGTATCAGGAACTGAGAATACTGACATACCATCAGGTGACCCACTGATTGAAGTATATACCATGATATAATGTCACAAGCAAGGACTTTCACTGAAGGTTCTCACAAGATGGAAAAAGTTTTTTTTAATAAATAACTCCTAGCATAAAGACTGAGGAAATCTTGATGTCCTCTGCAACGTATTCTACACTTTCAATATCTACTTCTTCATGCACAGCAGAGTCTAGTGGATGGAGCACACTGACCAAAAGGAAAATAAACATGGGCTAGGTTTAATATATGTAAGCTTGTCTCAGAAGTTCCTGACAGTTTTAGAGTATAATAAAAATGAAGCAACTCCTGGAATCAGATATTGGCTTAATCAGCATACATTTGAGTGAATTAAAAAGGGGAAGGGG